AGCATATTAAAGGTGAAGGCAGCTGATATTGACACATTTTATTACACATCATTGAATTATAGCAATAGATTGGGGACAGTGAATGTGTTGTATGCTAAGTTTTGTTGAATAGTTTTTTGAGCTATGGTGAACAAGAAAACTTCCATGTGCTATGTAGTGTAATGCACGAAAACTTCACGTTGCACACATAACGAAGAAATTCTGCGGCCCTAGCGTTCGTACCCTTTTATCTTTCAAGCAAATGAAGTGAAGTATGAAAGCTGAATTACTAGTGAAGTGCAACCCTCGTGCGCCCACTGTGAGGCGCAGCTTAAGTAAACGCATGACGCCCGTACCACTAATGATGGGTTGGTTTTGTTTTAGATGTTATCGTGGTCTCTTGGCAGCGTCGCGGAGTCTGACGTCGGGCTAAATACAGCTACTAGATAGCATGGGAGAGGCGAGTTACCCGCCCTGCGTTGTGCATTTTTTTCTGGTGCCCAACTCCGAATTTACGCAGAGCACGACGATCGTCCGACTGTGGAAGTACCTACACCTATCGGTTGATAGTATAATATGTATAATTGGCTAATTTTCCACACGCTCTAACTTTGCAACGGAGCAGTTTCAGAGAAAACCGTTCTAAAATTCTCCCTTCCTATCCTTGCCCGTTAAGCTAGGGATCGTATCCTTTGTGTGAGAAACCAACAAAACACCCGAGAAGTGATATATAACAGTAAAACAAGACCCACATACACACCGACCACAATTAACTGTAATCTCGCTGCGCATGCGCGCAGAGGGTTAATAATAATTATAACTAAAGTGCAGCCCTCGGCGAGTACTCCATAGAGTCTGACACTGGCTACTACAGTAGTTAGATAGCACGCGATAGATGTCGATACACGACTTTAGTTTATGACTTGCTTGTGCCTGTTCAAGATAGACAGAGCAAGCGGACCCGTTCGAGGTTGTAATGCCTGTTGCTAAAGTTATAGCCATTGCTCATTATCAAACCAGGCGATAAATTGGGCATTAAGGCATCGTCAATGCTTGGAATCGCTCTAGCTTTGCAACGGAGCACTTTCAGAAAACCGTTCGAATTGATTTTTCTGACCTTCATTGCCCGTTAATGTTAGATCATATCCTTTGTGGACGAACAAACACTCGAGAAGTGAGATTGAGATAACAGACAGACAACCACTAGAAGTAACCCTCGCTGCGCAATAAGCGCGCCGAGGGTTAATAAAAGGAGTGCATGTTCTCTACAAGTACCTTTCCTCTATAAACCCTAGAAATGTGTTCAACCTATACGCCTTTGCCCCACTGCTTTACCTCTTAATGTGACGAGTAGCAAAGAAAGATGGAAAAAACTGCTGTAATAATCACGAAACCAAGTCTTGTGCCCTGGGTAATCAGTTGATACGTATTTAACTTAGAGAGTATGCTACAGACAATAGTTTCAGTAACTATCTTTTGCCGCTAGAACTGCATGAGCTGCTCCAACACACGAGAGCCACTGTCTTGTCAAGAGGGGTCCATGACTCCCCTCTGCACCCAACATTGGGAATGGTGGTCTGGGCATGTTTTGACGCCAGAAGTTTTCTGGAGTAGCCATTTGATGTGAGGAATTGAGACACTCATACGAAACTGACTGATTACGTAGGGTCATCGAGGCATACCAGCTTTCACAACACACACACTTGGAACGGCCAGCCAGCCGCCGCTTGCTCTCCTCCATCACCTTGTCCCACTCTTCCTCACACTCCGCCGTTGGTACAATCTCCTTTTTACAACTTGCCATCTGTATCCTCCTGTGGGTAATATACAACACAATCATTATCCAATGATGAGCACAATGGCAAATGGTTCGCTGCAACAGGGATGATGTGTCATACGACCAAAAGACTTTATATTACACTTGTATGGCTGCGAACAAACACTTAAACTGAGGGAACCTTAGTGTCTCTACCAGATATCAATATCGTTGAACCAAAAGGGCGTGATAGAACGAACGGATAGATGCTCTCAACATTAGATAGGCTGACACAGCAGATGGGATGAGAAGCTAGAGATAAGACTGCCTCCACAACAGTGGAAGGGTCTGCAGCACATGCTGTGGTTTAGAAGACTACCATGGCGAGGACGAGGCCTAAGTTTGGTCCGTTGAGTGAGCTCCACACGATAGTTGGAACCAGTAGATCTGCTGGATGCTCAGCCTTCTTGCTGAACTTGAGCAAACCGCCTGTTGACAGCCATAGGGTATTACACGCTGTTATACGGATAGTGTCCTTGAGTGGAGGTGATATAAATGTCAAATAGCAGACGTAGGCGAGCCATTGTTTGATGTTATTTGCATATCACAGGACAGGAAGACTCTCCCTTGCCGCTGTCACTCGTGCACACAGTCTCCAACTCTGCCAGCTTCGAGCCCTTATTCCTCCAAGCCGTAGGTGGCAGATCTGCTGGCAGATGCAGGTCCATGCCCCTTACCTCTGATAACTCTAATCCATGGAATGTGGCCAACAGTAGGAAACTGAGCACCACCTGGTCGATGTTGAATACGCCACTAACATGATCCCTGAACGTGTCCATGAGTCAGACGAGGCAGAGTTCTCTGGCCAGAGAATACTTGCAGACACTTGCCTCCCAGAGAGACAACATGGTGTCTATGTGGCCTGCGAGAAGGACACTCACGAGTGTTCTCATTAGCTCCAAACTCCCACCCTGGTGGCCCACAGCAGTGGTGCTCTGAAGCTCACTGCACACCATGACAACAATAATAATAGATCGGTTGATTGCAACGACAGACACCCTCACCTTCAACTTATTTGGTCTTTTCTTTCTTCTCCAGCTTATGTATTTTCTTCCTTGGCATGCACTTCTCATCATCACAGTCAAGATCAACAGCCAAGACTGCATTGGAACACAGAAAGACCCCGAGTTATCCTGCAGACGCAGCAATGATAACTGATGGTACGTTCCCTTCGCCTTGTTCTGTTGAATCGAAAGTCTTGGATCTTCTGCCAACACGATTCATCAGGGATTGGTAGTTGTTCTCCTCTTGATGCACAGCTGGCCAACTGCTCCCACGACCGCTTCATAAACCTGACACACAACACGGCTAGTGGATCGTAGGACGATAAGGGGAGTAACTGCTTATACACTTTCAATAGATTGGCCTCTTTTCTATCCTCCATGCTGCACCAGTCCAGGTAAATCCTTGCCACAACAGATCTATTGCAGGATACAGCACAACAGACTGAGAGGCTCGGCCCAGCAAGATGCAGGAAGCTCACATAGGGGTGGGGGATGTCGCGCAGCCGGGGGGGGCGCGTCTCACGCCTCAGGCAAACTAATCCATAGCAATCGAGTAGTAATCAGGAGGATCAGGCCTAAATGATCTCTGTAGTAGCTGGAAAGAAGAGAGGATTTCTCATAATCTGTGCATTTCTCTAGTCCTATTGTATAAACCTTGGCATTGGGCTACTACATCCTGCATGTAGTATCGTTTTACCCAGCCACCAAACACCCACCTCGTTCCTCCACCCTCACCCACTTCTACCATTCTTACCCTTCCCTTCCTCCTATCCCCCTCTACAATTGTGGCTGACTCAGCATGGCCCAGGGCATTGGAGGTGAGGATACAACCACCAATACAATATGGGAAAGCCGTCAAGCGGAAAGTATGGAATAAACCAAAACTATGCTGTAACATCACTACTGATGTTCCCACATAGACCTGACAGCCACGAATATGGAACGGATAATCTGACTTATAGATCCACACTCCACTAGCAGCTAAACGCACAATCTGCAAGCTGATGTGCTGCATGTCCACAGACACGCTTCTGCTCCACTTAATAATCTGCTACCCACTTTTCACTGCCACCATCAATCTTTCTTCCCTCATCCACTTGGTCTCCGCAGTCCAACTGTTGCTAGTTTCTTTGAGCCAGATGAAGGCCTCATTCCACCGCGACTAGTCTCGGTACCTGCAGTATCGTCGGAATGACAGTGAGGTCATTTGAGCTATTCAGCGCATATCATAGTCTAACAGAGCACAAGGCTGGGCAATGCGCTGGCCACCCCTGAGAACCAGAAGTACACAACACAGTGTCAGCCAAGACCACAGCTAGAGCTCACCACCCGCACACCATGAAGTTGGCTGGGCTGATGAGAATCTTCTGAGAGAGCCCTATCTCATGCTATGCTACACAGAACAGCATCACACCGTACTATGCGGGACAGGTATGAACCAAGAGCTTGCCCGTAGAGTTAAAGAGAGGGCCTCTTGTCTGTTGTCTTTGACTCTCTGACTCATTTTGCTTCAGAGAAGAGACTTGTGGACATGAGGACAAAACTGCAGTGTAAAGGTCTGAGGCAGCCAGTCACAAACAGGTTGTTGAAGGTGACGACCGAGTGGGGTGTAGGGGATGACTGCTCCCTCCACCTCTCTTGCTGAGAAGAGGGAAGGAAACAACAAAAGTTAACGTTGGGCTGCACACAATGCAGTGGACTTGGGAGTGAGGCTGCAGAGAAGCAGACTCTGGATGGCTGCATGTGAAACACAATGGTGACGTCGACTGGGAATGAGATGGGTGGAGTGTCCGTCTTCTCCCGAGTGTCCTCCTCTTCCTCTCCCTCGCTTCCCTCCTCACTCTCCCCATCACTACTGCCTGTCGGCTTGCCACCACGCTGTGCTGCGATTGTGGTCGCACACCTGCTCCACAAACTCTAGTAGACTTGGGGTAAGAGTCTGTCCTCAGGAGTCGACATAACCACCACTGACACTGCAGTACTCCTCTCTTCAGGGCTTGGGCCACAGAGTCTGGAGTGCCTGGGGAGATTTCAATGTTCGGTAGTTGTTGCTCGGGGAAGTGGGGGGTCATGGCGCGAGGGATGAGGATGGAGAAGGGAACTGATAGGACTCTCCAATGAGAGATTGTGTAGTGGACCTGAACACTGAGAGCTGGTATGAGAATGATAATAGTGTCGTTTGCTGAGCCGCCCTGTTGCTTGCGTGGCTGGAGAGGAGAGGAGGAAGAAGCACAGTAGGTGTGCATCAGGTAGTGGGCATGAGCAAGCAGACTTGGACTGGAGGTCCGTTGAATTGGAACACTGCCAAACAGATGAACAACTCACTTTGAGCAACTCACATCCCTTCAATATTACCTCTCTTCCTTACAGCGCAGTTTCACTATTCCACTGTCTATATTGACTGTGATGTTGACCTCCACATCAATGGAGGTGACTAGTCCACTGCGCTGTGACTCAGCTGGCTTCTGAGGCAGGAAGGAGAAGGTCTGGTGGGCAGGGGTGGAGGAATATGGAGTGGGAGGGAACGGAGAACCAGGGACCTCTTCTCCGGGAACTGGAGTTGCTGCAGGATAGCCTGAAATTTACACCACACCGCCTTCTCCCCATGACCCACACAGACCTGAGGGAGTGAGGCCAGGGGAAGAGCTATCCTCATCTCTGGCAGTTGTGAACTGCTCTGTCACATCTGACACAGTGCGCAGATGTCTGCCTCCAGGCAGTGTCTTTGCTCGCTGCCTCACTGGGGAATGGGTCAGTTCTGGCACCTCCTCCGGGATGGTAGACCTTGAGTCTCCAGCACTGAACAGCCTCCGAGGGGCCTTCAAAGTCCAGTGTCTCTGCATCCCAACTCCCCTTCCTCTTCCCACCCTCCCGGCACTGGTTGGTTTGAAGAACTCGGCGATTCTCTGGAAAGAGAAGCCCCTGCGTCGTCTGAACAACTTGCCCACGTTCTTCCTCAGCTGCTGCTCTGTTTCTTTCAGGACCTCCATTTCCCTCTTGATGCTCTCTCGACTGGCACCCAGAGACCTGATGGGGAGACGGAAGTAGTAGTAACATTGTTTCCAGTGAACAGCCAGACTCACTGTAAGTTGGAGACGTTGATAGTTCCCTTGGCCAGATTGGTCATACCCTCCTCCATGTGGACTCTCTTGGGCTCGTGTCTGACTGGTCCTGCCTCTGACATGGCTCTCTTGTGCAGTTTGCGAGGTGTCTTGGTGGGAGGAGTGGCAGGAGCAGTGGTGCGGGCGAGGTGAGTCGGTTGCTGACCCTCCAAACTGGTGCCAATGGTTGTTGCCGTGCGGACCAAGGTAGATAAATGGTGGCCAATGTCTGAATTGGCATTGACGTCAATTCCTGACATGTCCCATTGGAATGCCCACACCAATTTCTCTCCAAGAACCACTGCACACGGAGACACAAATGATATAAGCAAAAGAGCACGTTAAGCAATACCTGAATCATCAGTTTCACTGTGTTGCTTCTTTGTAGCCACACACAGTCTGAAGGTTCCCTGGCTGACGATACCTACGGAGCCAGAGCCCGTGGGTTAGGAGTTGGAGAGAGAATTACACTCACCGCAGTTGATCATCTTGTTCTTCTTGAGGTCTGTGGTCCATGTTCTCTGTCTCAGAGTGAACTGGTTGGCAAACCTCAGACAGAAGCCAGACAGGCTTCCAGAGCTGGCTACTCGTCTGCTCAGGTTCAGCACTAGCAGCATCTCTTTCACGGTCAGCACTAGAGCTGGAAATGACTGTGAGGTCTGCGGAGTGTAGAGCTGCACAGAGGCACACAGTACTAGGGATACCAGTCTCCCTGCTGACCTACCACAGGAGACATGGGCATGCAGGCCCCAACATCAGTCATGCTGATCTGGACCAGACGAGGCTTGGAGAATTCCAGAGAGGAGCCCTCACAGTCATTTCCAGCTCTTCTGCTGTCTGGCTTCTGTCTCCGAGACTGGATCTGAGCTACAAACTTCTCTGTCGCAATCTGGACCTGCACAATGTAAAGAGGGAGTGAGTGGGTTGTGATGAACACCAGTGATACGCAACCTCTTCATTGAGCAACTTTCTCTGGTTCTGCCAGTAGCTGTACACACTCTTGCAGTTGAGCCAGAATAGAATGGCTGGGGTAGAGATTCATAGTGAGAGAGAACGGATGGCTGGTGGTGACTGTACCTTGCTCCACTGCTGAAGACTGTATGTAGAGATGGGGACAAATGATTGAGATGAAGAATGTGTCCAGTGGAACTCCACCCTCGTTCTCACTAGCCCCGCCCACGAGGGAGAGCCGTGGAGCATTCTGCTGTGTGTTTCTGATGGAGATCTTTGTCTTGAAGTATGCCAGCTCACAGAAATCATCGTCTTCACTGGAGGAATCCTGCATTAAGAAGTGAAGTAAACACCATAATTATGACGTGATTTTGCTATGTACATACCTGGAGGTATCCAAGGGCTAGGTTGACATGTATGTCAACCCGACCAAGAAGTAGCAGCTGGCTCTTTGCTAAGGGCACATCTGCAGTGGCAAATTGTTATGAGCAGCAATAGTCAGGGGTCTTCATTATAGGTCTACATAGTTAGTAAGAAAATGTATAGTGCTAGGTTCACAACAATAATGTCGCATTGCCCCGTCGCACCATGCCGCGTCGCGAGGATAGAATCCATTTCTATCTTCGCGGCAGGATGCGGCACGGCATTGCGCGACGGGGCAATGTAACATTATTGTGAACCTAGACTAATGTGTGCTTGTAGTGCTAGTTTGTGTGCTAGTATTTTTTTGCTTTGTTTTTCTGGCCTTTTTTGTTGTTGTTCTTGTCCCGTCGCATTTTTCTCTTATCGCACACTACTTTTACTGTTCATAAAGCATAATGCATTGTGCTGTTAAAAGAAAGACACCAGTTTTGTGACTATTCGAACCACACTCCAGCCCACTCTATGCAAAATGGAAGGATGTGATTGGCTGTAGCCACCTGCACACAATGAAACTTGAAGAACATCTGTGGTCTGCGTAGGTCTGTTGTCAACCACCTTGTACAAACTGTTCACCATAAACACTGACCACACTTGAATCTTAATCAGCCCTGAATTCCTTGCTCAACAGTCCTTCACTACTCTATTTTCTAGGAGTTGTATGTATGAAGAGCTCTGTCTTTTTCAAGTTGCCTAGGTCAAGTGCATTTCAAGTTGTCTGCTATTGAGCACCCATTATGCGTAGGTCTTGCTAGTTGGTATTGCTAGCTGACCTTTGGAATGGTGCTGCTTACACCCAATGTGGATATACCTGCCAGAGGAGCCTGACTCTCTGAGTTGGTGATGAGCATATCAATGCGGCTGGTCTGGAAACGTAGAGCAGTGCAGAGTGGAGTGCTGACAGTGACAGAGATCTCATCGATGGACACACGGCAGGAGTCCAGGAGGGAAAGGAGGTCCAGGTCTGCTCCTGGATCACTGTCTCTTCTCTGGAGCCCAGCACTGCGGCCTGCCATCTGCTGCGGGAGACTCTCCCCTATGCTGATGAAGAGCTGAGCTAACTCATTCACCTCCTGCACACGTACAGTGAACAAGATGAGTGTGTGAGAGAAGAGAGATAGGGAGGAGAGAGAAGAGAGAGAGAAAGAGAGGAGAGGTCAACCTTGATGAACGAGTTCTGAAGAACCAGAAGCTGATTGAGGGAGTCAGTAGTGAGGTCGATGTTCACTTTCTGCACTGTCAGACAGACTGAGACTTGTGGGAGATGCCTGTCCAGACCTCTTCTGACATCTCCACTCAGTCTCACTGTCGGCAGCGCCAGACTGCGCAGTGTGACCTGCAGGAGGACACGGTAGTCTGGGTCCTTGGTTTCAACAGGTCAGCTCACCTGCTGCTCTCTGGGGTTGAACCTGAGAGTGTGAGTACCAATGAAGAGCTGGTATGCAATCTTCTGAGTAGTCTCTATGTGGGCTGTCAGAGGATGAATCTGCACAGAACCAAAGAGTCACGCACAGATTCTGATGTCTACATCAACTTGCCGTGTATGTGATACTGAGAGAGGGAAGGGGAGTCATGACCAGCTCCACTCTGGCCAGACTGAAGTGGGTATAGCCTTGAGGAAGCTGAGAAGGCATTTGCACAGGAGCGTTGTTGCTAGCATGAGGCGGGGCCTCTGGTCTGGCTGACGCCATTTGCTCTGAGCTGCAGTTGTGTATGTTTACTATGAGATAGAGGGGTTTGTGTTCGTCTTACACAGGGGAGAACACATCTTGGTAGATCCGAGTGAATGCTGGCAAAAGCTGCTGGACTCTCTTGTGCACTAGCACTGGAGGTTGTTTGACAACCAATTGGCAGCCCAACATCTTTAACAGGCAGCGGTAGGACGGCAGGGGGAGCAGGGAGCTGTTACTGAGCCCCACAGAGAAGTGGATTGGCTGGGACACAAGCCGCACTATGTCACTGGAGGGAGTATATACAGTGAAGATCATGAAGTTATAGTGGTGTTGCTCTCACAGTGAGTGATCGCTGATTGCCAGCTGGGTGGTCTTGACTGTAGCCATCAGCGACAGGTACGAAGGCCACAGATGGAGCCTCTCAGTAGCTGTGCTCAGTTTGCAGCTGTCCACACTGCCAGTGATACCTGCAATGAGTAAGATGAGGAAGGGATGAGGTAGTGCTTCAAGAAGGAGGTTACCTGCCAGACGCAGGGATGAGGTTGATGTTTCAACATTAAGATTTACTGACACCGAGTCCACCCGCAACAGTCCAAATAAGGAGTGGCTGAGCTGGGTTGGTGGAGTTTGGAGGACCTGGTAGAGAGGACTGACGTCAGTGACCCAGTCCACAGTCTCGCTGGGCTGTGGGGGCTCAGGAGAGATGGGTGGGGGAGTGGGAAGTTTGTGCTGGGACCCAGAGGACAGGTGCATGTCGTCTGAACTGGGGAGATCTGCTCCGCTGGTGTCCAGGGGACTCTGGGAGGCAGGAGATGTTGGAGTTGTGGTGGCATGGTCTGCTGCAATGGGGACCTCAGAGCTGGAAGAATCCAGTGAGAGTCCACATGGGAGGGAGCTGGGTGGCTCAGTTGGCGGGGAGAGAGGGTGAGGAGCTTCAGTTGGTGAGCTGATGTAAATATCACGGGGACTGTGGCTCAAGTCTGTTATTACAGCACGGACTGATCGGGAGTGGACAGAGCTAGCAGATGACGGATGGCTGAGGGAAACACGGGGTGGTTCACTCTGCAAAGTTGCCAGCTCTTCGACCAATCTCTGTGCAAAGTTCCACAGACCAGACGGCTGAGCTCCAGAACTTTCTCCACTCTCTCTGCCGGGAGATTTGGCTGTTGGTCGTGGCCTGTGTGAAATGTTCTTTGAGGTCTCAATGAGATGTCTAGATAGTTTCATGAGTGGTTCAGTGATCCCAACACTCACAATGCCAGCCTGGGCACTGACATTCCCTCTGACACTACTGTTAGTCTCAGGGCCACCTTCTGTTGTGCTTCTTGACAGCAACAAGAAAGAGGGAGGCTGGGAAGATGTGGGGAAGTCGTAACTGGCCAGCAGGTGGCCCTGTATGGAGACCTGTTCCAGTTGGAAAGCAGGGAGAGTGGGGCTAGACGTTGCCTCAGCAACACAAACTGTCCCTTCCCTCAGCTGAATGGAGCAGTCAACCTGCAGCAGTCTCTTATTGTGGCAAGGAACTCTGAGCTGCGGACCAATGGAAACACTGATAGCAGTCAGCAGAGGAAGCAGTGACTCTCGAATAATAACCATTTTGTGAAATGAAACGAATAGGTATATCTCCTAAAGAAGAGAAATACACTAATTAAGACATGATGTGAATCCATCTGATCTTACCTCGAATGTTAGGATGTCTAACTGGTTGAGTTGCTCAGTGCTGAAGGCAACATTGGGCAGAGCTAGCTCTGAAGGCGAGGGGCTGATTCCTTTGATGTAGCCACCATTGGAATGGGAGCTGGAGGCAGAGCTATCTATGGGGTGTTGAAGTCGGTACGGCCCACAGCTGGGGCAGGTTGCAGGGTCGATGGGCACAGGAGTGGAGCGAAGCCTCTTCTTCGCTGTGGAGAACTCATCCTCTGAGAGGATCCTGCATTGATGGCTGACAGTAGCACTGGCAGTGCTACCTACCCACAGCTGACCTGGTTGCCAGAGAGATGGCAGTGGCAAGGAGCTCATCTGTGCAGGAATGGGAGGAAGGGATGGAGTTCAGCGAGGCCTCAGAGAAGGCAGGAAGAGAGGACCACATCTGAAGGAGACAGCAGAAGGCCACACACTGCCGTACTGCCAATGCCACAGGAGTTGCGAGGACACTGGATACCTATGTAGGAAACACATACTGTTTCTTGAGAGTGGCACTACAAGTTCTGTGAACATAAACATCCCTGAGGACTGTGCACTACTTTTGAGGGGACTGATTAAGACTGCCCTGGTACTCATCGCTTGCACCTTCTCTTTGAGAGTGCCACGAGCAGCATTAGTGAGCAGCGACAGGAGAGTCCTTCTGTCTCTGTCTTGTTTCACAGCCATCATCGTCTTTACTCCACTTATGACAGCCTCCAGGTGCCTCTGCCACACTACACCAACCTCGTACCCCAGGAGAAGGTCCAGTCCACCTGTCAGAGAGAAGAAAGCCATTCTTCAGCTACTCACAAGAACTCAGATTGCACAGACCAGTTGTGGGACTCGGTGTGCCAGTGACAGGAGCAGCCACCTCAGCCCACACCTGAGGCAGAGACACTGACACTGCCAGTTGATTGCTGACCTCTTCCTTCTGCTGAAGGGAGGGTGTTTTGCCACTGGTCCCGATGTCCAGGGTTTGAACGTGCTCCCAAGTAAGAACTGTCTTTGGGCTTATCTCCATTGTCACAACTTTGGCAGCCACTGTGAAAGACAAAGAAAAGCAGCCGCCCTCTAGCAGTCGGCATATATCAGGTCTTGGTTGAATTAGTGGAGATTCCTCATGCAACTTTGTGCGAAGGTTTGGAAGAGAGGACCAATTCTCTTCACCATAGTGGAGTTGGGCCGCCAGTGACACTTGTAGGGATGAACATTTTCCTTGCAAGCAAAGTTGCAGGGAGGACACCGTTGCCGAGTTGTCCTCATCTTCAGCTTTGAATCGACTGCAAGTCTGCAGCAGAGAGCTGACCTGCAGGCCCGACATGGCAGCTGTGATGAGAGAACACACAGGACCTTTCACTCCCGATGAAAGCTGATGTTGCATTGGGTGCGACTGGAGCAACTGAAAGCCAAAACTGCACTCGGGCTCAACAGCCAGAGATATTTCTGCAGAGAAGGGGTTTGGGTTAGGCGACTGAAGGAGTCTGGTGACATATGAGTCCAGAGACCGGCAGGTCTCCAAGGAGCAGCCTGTAAGCACAGCTGCAGCTGCTCTCTGTGAGAAGTAGTGAGTCAGTGACTGCACCACACTAGGTGAAGAAAACCAAACATGACTTTCAACACTACAACATTTCCACATGTTTACCTGGCTATGACTCTTGTGGAGGGAGGAGAAAGGGTGGCAGTAACATCACCCAGTGCTCTTACTTGCACAGTCAGCCGAGATTGAAGCTCACCAGTCTGTCGTCTGCTGCCTGGTGTCTCTCTTGAGTGGGTGGCGTGACTGCTGCCGACAGCAGGGAGTTTCCCTGGCTGGTCTTGGCTCAGAACAGGGAGTCGCAGTACGGCATAATTCTTGGTCTGGTTTGTAGGAGGAGAGTTCAGTGGAATATCTGATGGCCTCCTTGCATGGCTGCTCATCTCTGCAGGAGCAAAAAACTGAGTGTCAGATTGCAGCCGGCGATCCCCAGGCCTCTCCCCCTCATCCTGCACAAATCATAGTGCACAGTAGGCTACTGTTCCTTGGTTCAATCATGATACAGTTACCTTGGACTGAGGTGTGCAACGAGCCTCTCTGCTGATATGGAGAGTAAGAACGTTGTACTTGTAAGAGGGAAGAAGGGAATACAGAGGATCCTGTGTCCCCGTCTCTCTGCCTTCCTCCATATCGCTTCTCCAGTTGCCAGGAATAGTGTGTCCATCCAGCCCTGCCTCGTTCACATTCTCAAGACTGTAGAATTCATTGGTGTCCGAATTGTACTCTGAGCTGAGAGAATCCTTGGCCGATGCAAAGGACTCAGTTTCAGAGCCAGGAGCGGAAGGTTGGCTCGGTGAAGACTGGTATTCTCCCTCATAGTAGTCCAGGAGTCCCGTGTGCAACAGGTGGGGACAAGCAATGTCACGAAGGCACACTCTCTGCAGAGATTTCTTCAGAGACATTAACACTGTATTGTTGGCTGGCCTTTGGTCCAGTGTGGAGGATGGAGTCGCTGGAAGCAGCACAGGTTGGCGAGAGATGGAGCCATCCAAAAACTCGCACCCTCCAGAGCAGCCACAGTCAGGCTGGAGTTGCTCAGCCCACAGGAACCAGAGACGTCTGCTACGTGCGTCAGCTCTCCTCAGGAAGTCCCACTGCCTCTGAGGCACACAATCCTCTGGTTCTCGTAAAGAGAGCTCTACCTGAACAGGTCCCACTGCCAGCCGGCCAGCTTCAGCCAGTCTGCGAGGCTCTCCCACAACAGGTGTAGCCACAGAGCAGGAGAGACCTTGAAGCTGTAGGGACATCCCCAGCGTCTCACCCTCAGCATGAAGCTTGCACATACCAGCATCCAAACCAGGACTCTGTGGCAGTGTTTGGAACTTTAACGAAAACACTTTGTAGATGTCTGCACCTGCAGTCTGAGAAACTGCTCTCCCTCCAGAACAATGAAGTCCACCTCAGCTAGAGTGAGGTCAAAGAGGAAGTACTTAATGTCTTCTGACAGAGGTTCCACCCTCGGCTGGATTGGCACGCCGTTTGGGGCCCCCACCCTTGTGTCTGCCACACCCACAACTTGGTGGACCACAGTCTGCAGCCATGCCCCTGCCTCAGCAAGCTGCGGGGACATTAACAACTGCTCTTATTCCTAACAGCAGAACAAGGGCCACCAGACCTGAGCAGTAGAGAGAGCTGCAGTGATCTTGTTGACTTGGAGCTGCATGAGCCAGGCATACTCAACCCTCTCCCCCACCAGCATCTCTGTGAGTCCATGGCAGTTCAGCTGGAGCCCACCACATAGCATGTGACCCACTTCAGCACCATTACTAGAAGGCTGCACCACAAAACTTCCAACAGGGTCGAGCGAGAATTCTTTAATTTACCCATGAAGGAATGAGCACAGTGAAAGGAGTGACGTGTAGGTAAACTTTTGTATCAGTCTCTGTGTAGTACAATAGGATGGCCAGTTTGTCTGTACACAGGGACAGCAAAGCAGCATCCTCGGGCAGTCCTTTGCTAGGGAACTGTCAAAACCAACCACTAGCATTAGTCAAACAAACGTAATGGTGACTGACTGTCGGAAATTCAGCAGTGATGTTGTGAAGAGCAAAATCAACGATAATGTCTACAAATCGTAGCTTTGGTCGGTCAGGCAGTCCAGAAGGTGGGGATGCAGGAGGCACGCTTGTCAGGGGTGGTTGGGGGGGAGGTTGGGGGGTGGGAGTGTCTGGAGGAAAGGTTGAGTTGTACGTGGAGAACTCCAGATAGATTCCAGGGTAGTTCTCCTGTGTGGAACAGTGGTCTAACATACACATGACAAACACTGTGGGACAGAACACACCTTTAACCCAAGCAGATCTGTGGCCAAGAACCCAAAGACTCTCAGTAGAACACACGGAGCACTGAGATTAACATGCAGAGTGTGAGGAACCTCAGAGTCTGGGTGATGGTTCCGACTGGTGTATTGAATGACTAGAGAGATGACAGGGCCACATGCCAGGTCCACCCAGCCATCCTCCATACGCGTGTGTCCTCTATACCCCATGGGAAATGCTTTTCTGTCAGCAGACCCTCTGTTGGCTGAACCAGTCCCTTCCATCACTCTCCACCGATGCTTGTTAGCAGCTGCCAGGGCAAGCACTGCCTCCTTTGCTGAATCGGAAGGTGGCACAAAATGTCTGACCACGATATCCTTGCCCTACAGAAAAGAGAAAGTCCACAGATAATAATCCCCTTATGATGGCTCTGGAAATGAAGTATATACAATCGAAATGGAAGTAGAATGGAAATGGATGGCCCCAATGAGCCATCATATCTCCTACATTATGATGGTCTTACTTCTGCTGAGAAAGTGACCTCCTGCTCAGCAGGGTTGAACACAGAAGAAGGGAAGTGGAGCTTGATCTGACCAGTGGTTCCACAGAATGCCAGACGAGCTGCCAGCGGAAAGGGAATGACCTCCCAATCCACATGGTCTCAACATGGTGTGAGAGCCACTGACCATTCTCCAGGCAATCCCTGTCCAGCCAGTTGTAGCGTGAGGTGAACAGGTAGATCTCGTAGTCCGAGAAAGCAACTGTGATGGTCCAGTCCAGAGGGATAAAGTACAAGAGGTCTGAATCATCTGAACCCAGCCAGTCATCCAGCAAGGCTGAAAGTGTATTTGCCTGCATAAAGAGCTCAACTTCATAAACTGGGTAGCTTACCATTTACAAAGTCAATGTAGGAGAACAGAATAGATATTTCAACTTTAGACGCTGTTAGTTTCATATCCCATTGCTGAGTGGCATTCCACACCCGTGGGAAATGGAGAGCTATGTCCAACTGGGGCAAAGAAAAAGACATGAAGATGTCTAGTGGGAGAAATGTAGTGTGTCCACCTGGAGCGAGTCAGCACTAGCAAGATGAGGATAACTCATGTCTGAAGTCACTACCACAGCTTCCAAGGTTCCCGTGACCCGCGAAGTATACCCATCATCCTTGGTGATCCACGGTTGATGAATGTTAACCTCTGATCCTTCTCCAAGGGAAAATCCAAGCTGGTGCAGCTTCTGAAGACGATTCAAACTCTTGAAAGATTTTGGGGAAAATGCACCAGACATACATCTTTATCATCACGGAAGGGGATATTGAAAAATCCTTTGGAGGACAGACGAACAGAGATATCCATGTGAGTGAAGATCCTTCTCTCCCCGGGTTGAGGAATGCAGGAAGGAGGCCTTACTGAGTAGTCATTGGGGAAAAAGAATCTCTGCAGAAAGTGTCTGCAGGACAGAGCATATTACCACAACCTCACTACAACTGCCGGTTCCTGTGCATTATACCTGTGGTGGTTAGCATACGAGCCATAGTTGATGACAGAGTTGGTACCCAGCTCCACCTTCCAAGAGAACTGAGGGTCTGGGGTGTCCCCAAGTGGAACCAGACCTGCAAACACCAGAGTGTCTCACAGGGGGGAAGGTGAGGGGAGGGGAGGGGAGGAGACCTGGGGAGTCCCACGAATAGGTAACACTGGCCCAGTCTGATCTCAGCAACTGGTCAACATTGTCCACAGCGTCACCTGAGCTGGACTCCAACACTGCCCTGATTTCGGCTCCCCTCAGCCTCACCACGTGCAACAACTCATCAAATGCATTACTGGCCTGGTAAGACGGTGGTGTATCAACTGCTTGAGTGCAAGACACGGGTGCTACTTACCTCAGTTGTGTGGTAATAGGCCTCTGCTCTATGGGAATAAACTGCAAAACTTTTCTCGATAAGGTGATTACCAAACACAAGTCTTCCCTACATGAAAAAAAGCATCTATTTCAAAAACACTGAAACTTACTTACCTTGTTAATGGCAAAGTGTAAAGATGGTCGCAGATCTTTCCACAGAGTCCATGCAAGACTGCAGATGAAGGTTCAAATGATAACAAGTGTCAGAGGAATGCCTAACCTGTTGTTTGCCACAGTATCAGCCACACCAGTAGCTTCTGTGGAGCCATCTCTACCCCAGTTGTCATACAAATCACTCCTACCACATTCCATGAACAATACGTAGGAGCAGTAGCTATGGCACGCATTTGACGCGGCTCACCAGTTGTACCAGTGGAGCTGAAAGCCATTGAGCTGGAACAGAACCAGGGCATTCCTTGTCTCCGCTGACCCAAGGCAGCATGCTGTTAGTGAGGAAGAACTTCAATCCCTTTGTCCAGTTTTTTCATAATATATACCTCCAACCCCAGCTCTTTTCCACCATTGAAGTGCTATATAGCCATCTGCAACACTTGAAAGAAACAAACTATCAAAACGAAAGTCAATGCCGACCAAGTGGCACTGACCTGATGGAATAATCTCTGCAGTAGTAGCGTAGGTCTTTGAAGAGTATTCTACTAGTCAGGGGGCTGAGTTGAATGCTCCCTGAAACACTGGTAGGCTCAACGCCATGTTTTTTTGCCTAGTGGAGCCGCTCACCAAGGTGAATTCCGCTGTCGGTGAGGACCAAACTCGCCAAGCGACTCACCAACCACCCGAGGAAAGCGGAGGAGTAAAACAGGTCCAGTAAAACCCAGAAAAGGGAGAGGAACAGTGGCAGCAGTAAAAGCGTTGTTGGGTCAGATTTTTGTTGGTCCGAACATAGGTCCAAATCAGACCCAGACCCATTCTCTCTAGCTCTCACGTCGGCCGACATGCTTGCTTGCGCTGCCACACCCCACCCACCACCCTCTCACTCGCGCGCGCGCTAGCTCTAGCTAGCTAGCTTGAGCGTGCATCTCGGCGCGCATGCCCAGCGAGGGCGTACTTGTTCTGGTGAGAAATATTGACGCGCACTTTACATGTTTACATGCAGCATCATGTTCTCTTCTGCTTTTTTACAAATCTCAGCTCTGAATGGTTGGTTACACCATAGCTGTAGGAACAAAGCTTGATGAACAGAGAATAATAAGAATACCTACGTACTCAGTCAGTCTCGCAGATTTATCTTCTAGTCGTACTTGACCACAGGCCAACCAATACGTTTTCCACACATAGCTCCTGTGTGTGTTGGGTGGGGGGGTGCATTTCAACCTACAATCTCATAATGGAAGTAGATCTAGAACTCACCAGCTAACCACAGCTGCTTTCCAATTTTGTTTCACTCTGGGTTTTGTGGCTCTTTCCACAGCCTGCATGACATCATGCACAGTGGAGCCCTGCAGAACCACTAGCGCTAAAAGCATAAAGATTATGACGTTGGATGATGGAAAGGATAGCTAATTACGTAGGGACTGGTCGTCATAACATCTAAGTTGCAACGTGAGAGCCTGGCCACGCAGCAAGGCAATGCTAGCACTGAGATCTTCTGAGGTAGCATCAGTTCCAATGTCTGACAGCAGAGGATCTTTCAACACAGTCGTTAAACGAGTTTTAATCTCAGATAAGACTTCCAGGTGTGACCTGCCACTCCACTCCGTCTTCTTAGCCATGAGGCGCATGCGCATCATGTGCGTAAAAACAGCTGTGACCCCGGGTGTGTCCGTCGTGTCAGTCGTGTCAGTCGTGTAGAGCTGGAATCGTAATGTCGAACAAAGCCAAGGGCAAGACCAAGGCGGTAAGTTGGTAAGTGAGAAGGGAGGAGAGAAAGACGAGCTGTTACAGAATGTACTAGCGTAGCTTAGCCACAGAGTATGGTTCTCCGTCTGCGTGCGTGATTATCCGGGGGTCTCCTGGATAATCACGCACGTAGACGATACGTATCTTCCCTTACGGTATAACTTTCCGACAGTTATGTTCATTCTCTGCCATAGCTATCGTTGGGTTCTAGCGCATCTTCCTGATATACATGGGTGGTCTATGTTCATTCCTAGCATTCTGTACCATACAAACTGTTGCCTTGTATGGCCACCCTATTGCTGCACTGTTAGATACGCAAGTCAGGCTGGCTGAGCAAGAGAGGGGGTCGCATCCACACCTGGCACAGGCGCTGGTTTGTGCTGACAGGAGACCTATTGTTCTACCACAAGTCTCCTCAGGTGTGGAGTCCTTATGTGTACTGGGATTTTTTGGTGATTTGGTGCCAACATTGTGCAGGACAGTAGACCCACAGGCACCATCCCTCTGGCTGGCAACAGAGTCATACGTCACCTGGATGATCAGAGGAACAACACTTCCTTCAGATTTGAGATTATCTGTGTGTACACTCATCTCTAGCTCTGCACTAACCTGAAGTGAGTGCACTTGTTTTTGTGTAGCTGGGAGAGGCCAACAGATATCCAACACACACAATACCTACCTGATCAGTGCTGATTCAGCGGCAGAGGCTGATGAATGGGTGGCTGTCATACGAAGAGTTATGCATGAGGTCTGCCCTGTGTCACACGGGTTATGTCAAGTATCAGGTTTGTGTCCCCAGCCGTATGGAGGAGGAATGTTTGGACGTAGTCTGGAGGAAACTATGGCGGTAGAGACACGACTTGGCGGGAGCTATGTTCCCATCTTCTTGCATCGCTGTGTGACATTCCTACGGGAGCATGGTGGGGGCTTGCATCAAACTTCATATAGCCTATCAACCTACCTACATAACATTGTGCAGCCCTGCATGAGGTTGGCATATTTCGTCTTCCCGGCCAGGCAAGCAGAGTTCAAGATTTGAAAGAACTGTATGATCAAGGTCAGTCACAGACAATAGTGTAATGAAAAGCACTACCCTCGGCGAACTGCACATGCGTGGTATATACCGCTTGATGGGCTGGGCTATTAGTGTGCGTTTACTCGCGGTCTCCCCCTCTAGTAGCTCGCAGAGAGTCTGACACGGGCTAGCTACAGTAATAGATAGCATGCGAGAGTCGATACACGCCATTCGTTGTGACTTCTTGTGCCTTCAAGATACACCGTGAGCAAGTGGGCCCGGTCGAGGTAAGCCTGTGCTAAATATAAGCGAATGCATGCAACAAATACTCGAGAAGTGAGATGGAGAGTAACAGACAGACAGACAGACAGACAGACAGACCCCAACTACTGTAACCCTCGCTGCGCATGCGCGCGGAGGGTTAACTATAGGAGTAGCAGTGTCTGTGTTTAGGGTGCCAGCAGCAGTTTTCTGCCTCGGAAGATGTGCACACCGTGGGCTCTCTGCTGAAGCTGTATCTGAGGGAACTTCCAGAACCACTAGTACCATTTGACTGCTACTCTTTCTTCCAGTCAGCAGTCAAGAGTAGGTCTTGAGTCTTTCACTGAAAATGTAGTGTTGTCTGTACTCATGCAGAGCTTTCCATTGGCATGGAAGCTGCTGTAGAGGACCTGCAAAGGGCTCTCCTACACCTGCCAAAAGTTAACATCAATGTCTTGAAATACCTTGTGTGAGCTACTGAGTCTGTCTGCCTAACTTTATACACCTGTGTGTATGGTTGATAGGCGGTTCCTCAGTGAAATACAGGACTACTCGGAAGATAACAAAATGACTGCTTTAAACCTGGCCACAGTATTTGGTCCCAACATTCTGAGACCTCGGGTTAGTTACATGTGTTGTAACTTTGGTACAGATGTAACCTCCTCCATAGAGTGCAGATGCCCGTTTACTGATGGAATGTAACACTACCTGCACTGACTTTGTGTGTGTAGCCATCAAACAGCAGAGGCGGCTTTTCCCAAGCACTTCAGATGAGAAGCCACCGAAAAGGCTGAGTATTGTCTTCTCTGTCGATGAATTGCAGACTGGCTGGGCAGATGGAGGCCGTCTTGTCCAGAGGTCTCTCTACAATCCTCAGGAGAACTCTCCCAAACACAGCACCAGTCGTTCAAGAAGAGGCTCAGCTCCATACCTCATCTCCCTGCCACAGGAAGAGCAACAGCGAAAGTCAGGTACACAACTTGGTTTTCATCCACCCTGACTGACTGAAAGCTGTGCAGGAGTTGTGGCTAGCATGGTGCAGCACTTCAACTTACGGAGCACACGCAGTGTGTCTCAGATCTCTGGTTCTCTCGAGATCTCATCTCCAGTGGACGTGTGGCACACTGCTGGCCAGAAGCCCGGCGGGCCTGCACTGCAGAAGCTGTTGGCTTTAAATGTAGAATCCAACCTCGTCCAGCCACAGAGCCTTGTCCAGAGTGGTTTACAAGTTTCAACTAGTTCTGAGGATGTTAAAATGGGTCCACCTGTGCCTCCCACGTCTTACACTAATCGATTCTCAGGCTCAGGTAAGGACTGGCTGCTCTCATGCAGTATGTTGTATATATTAGGTGTGTGGTAATGTGTGGACAGGTGTCTTGGGCCCACGATCAGACACACTGTCTTCTGATGTCATTGTCAACTCTATATCCAGAGGTAAAAAATGCAAGATGTTTGATGGAGTGTTCAGTGTGCGGATGTGTGTAGAGCTAGAGACGCTGGAAACACGACTGATGGTGGTGGAAGAAGAAGCATGTCGCTACAAGAAGGCTGCTCGCCTGTGGAAGGCCCGTTACATGCAGGAGAGAGGAGCAAGGTATTGTGCCGGTGAGTGCTCCGAGGTTGTGTTTACCTGGCTACACACACAGACTGGCAGCAGAGCAGAGAGCGAATGGTCTGCAGCAGTTGGTCGATGACACTTTCCAACAGTTTGCTCTAGATGACAGTGAAGATGACTCGTATGATGAACTGAGCAGTGGGAGTAATGCGAGCACTCCTCTTCATCAGACGGAGGCTAGTCCGTTTATCTCTCTTCCAGGAACTTTACCTCCACTTGTCTGAATGTGCAAATAGTCCGGTCCGTCAGCGTACGTTATATGCGCGCATGCGCGCATAGCGTCTCAGTGCGCATGCGCAAAAAGAGAAGGGCTGGGTCGTCTAGTAAGAGGAAGGTCATATGACTCTCGGAGGACACGACGAATGGCGAGCAACCCGTTTGACGAGCAGCCGGACTATGGCACTGTTACTGGGCAGAGTACTGGCTTCAGGACTGGTAGACTCTTGTACACAGTGGTATGTGGCGTGATCCCTGGCGTTTCCGTTATTATAGACGAGTTCTCGCGAGTTCAGCTGAAGGTGGCCAGTGACGCCCAAGAAATAAAGAGATTGAGTGAGTGTTTGAGGTTGTGTTACTGTTCAGGCAACCTTGAAATTATTCTCAGCTGGGACCCTGCTTAGGTTGGCCCAACAGGTAGGGACGTCCAGTGATGGGGAAGAGCTACGAAGACATGTGTAAGAAGGAGTGTTTATTTTAGCTATGCCTCACCCAATCTGTGGGACATGTCCAGGCATAATGCACAGAAATCTGCAGTGGAACACATTCAGAGCTCCCAGGCTGGTCTAAAGGAACTTATGAGTAGTGCTGCTAATGTAGGTTGACTTGCTGATGATTGGGTGATTGATTACTGTCCCTTGTAGCCAGAGCAGCAAATAGCTGCCAAGTCTCTTGTACGGCAAGTGAAGCAGGCCGGAGATGAGTGTAGCAATGCTATGGAAGCACTCCTCAAGCAATTGAGCAAGCATCAGACTGTTGCAACTCGTTTGGATCCAACCCCTGGAGGTTTCCTGGTGAGATTGCTACTTGGTGTATCTACCCCGTTGACCCTTGTTCCAGGACTCAGGAGAACTGGATGTGGAGGAGGACAGAGCCCGTCTCCTGCGCAGCCCTGCCGAGCAGGTCATGCAGCAGGAGTTTGTTGTGTCTAGTGAGGCAGTGGAGGCAGAGTCTCGAGCGACTGCCATGCAAGATCTGCAGGTGAACAACTCTCTGTAGACTGTATGGAGTTAGGACTTGCCAGGACCCTGTCATTTTAGAGAGACATAGTTGACATGCATGGTGTGATGAGGGACCTTGGCATCATGGTGAACTCACAGGGAGAGAACGTTGGTAAGACTGTAATAATTATGATGCATCAACTTGGGTGTGCAGTCTAATATGCTCTAATACTGTGTCTGTATAGAGAATTTGGAGGCCCATGTAGAGAGAGCACATGCTGAGGTTACCCATGGCAATCAGCAATTGGGTAGTGCAGTCAGATACAAGGTGAGTTGGCAATGAAGCCAGGATTAGTTAAAACCGGTTTATTTTTCTCTTCTTCAGAAGTGTTCTCGAAAGCTCTGCTGTGTCATATGGACCATACTGACAATTATCTTTTTGATAATTGTGATAGTAATCATTATTGTTGTAGCTGTTATTAAGGGTAGTAATTGAACTGTGATTGTTTGTGAAACTTGTGTGTGTTTTTGTGTTGTTGAAAAATACAAACAAAACTATTTGTGATGAGAGTGACCGTATCTAGAGAAAATATCATGTAATCTCGAACCATTATGCAATGTGTTGACTTACTTCGAAGTCCAGTCAATTCTTCCGTGAATATGGCCTTTATTTTGAGAACTGGCTGCTAATGTGGAGTGGTAAGTGGGAGGTTTGGCCCTAGCCTTGGGAGGCTGCCTGATCTGCCAGTTCCCCACTGTAACTTCAGGCAGAGCTGAAGTTTGGTTTAGAAGTACACAATCGCTATACCTCTTCTGTGTGGAACTGATAGTAGGGGTGGGCATGCTCCTGCTTCCGGTGGTACTGGTGTTATCTGTTTCACCTATGAGGCAATATGAACAGTGGGTCATGGTAGCTCTGGTCTCACCTGTAGCTGTAGGTCATGAGAACTGTCCGTTTGACTGCCTCCTGTGAACCTAGAATGATTATCTGACCATCGGGGGACTGTGCTGCCAAAAGCAGGCACAGCAGATATCCGTTTGTGTGGAAAGTGACGTGCCCTGCTGAGATAGTACCTATGTAAGTGTGGCAGCTAGGTACATTTTATTGAAAAGGCTCTTGATAAACGTGCTAAAAAAGGAGGTTACCTGAGAGTTTCAGTCTTGCCATAGTCCATCTCCTTCCCACTATTGTGCTGTTGGCAACCACCACCACCTGTGCCATCTCTGCCACTCTTTGCTTTCAGCACTGGATTGAACTGATTTCTCTGAACTACTCCCGAGTGGTACTGCAGAGCTGAGTGCTCTTGGTGTAAGTGGGCACGTGAGTGTGTGTGAGTGAAATTCTCTGCTTTCATGCTAACAGGAGTTGACCTTCTCTTCACAGATGCGACAGGCATATTTCTATGTTGGGTTGTTGAAGACTGACTGAAATCTAATGGCTGCAAATGAAGACTGGCTGTTTGTGTCTGAGTTGGGTAGTTAGAAGATTGAGCTGTGGGGTTCACTTGAAAGTATAAATGTGACAGTCCCTGTATACATACATGTAACTTGCAATGGTGTAGTGATTTAGGCAGCCACACTGACCTGATTGGCTGTGGGCCTTGACTGTGGATCCCACTTCAGTAGTTCCGACATTAGCTGGAGTCCTTCCAAATGTGCATGAGGGACAACAGAAGAAAGGTGCATTGGAACTAACACCGGAAAGTTAAAGTTCATTGCAGTTGCAAGTTTTACTCCCTCAGGCCACGGACCCTATACAAACAGTGTGAGATTTTGCGAAATTAAACCCACTGAACAAACCTTGGTTGGAGGGCCAAGTATTGCACATATCCTGAAAAGTTCGTCAATCTCACTGCGACCTGGAAAAAGGGGACGGAATGTGTACAGCTCTGCCATGATGCAGCCAACTGCCCAAAGATCAACAGGACTGTTATAATGACTGGAGCGTAGAAGAATTTCAGGAGCTCGGTACCTAGCACAGCACATAATATAATAATAATGGCTCTGCATAATTGCTCAGTGTTCCATTACCAACGAGTGGCAACATAGTCAGTGTAGGGTGGCTTGCTGCGAATCTCTCTAGCCAGGCCAAAATCTGCTATCTTTACCAGTTCAGGACCAGAACACAGCAGGTTTTCCGGCTTTATATCCCTGTGAAAGAAACCTGCAATACAACAAAGAGTCATGGGTGACATAAAATGGTATATGACTACCTTGTTTGTGCATAAATGCAAGTCCATGCAGAACCTGGCAGGTGATGTTTCGCACTGTCTGCTCAAGGAAAGGTTTTGTTCGGTGCTTTATCAGTTCATAAAGGTTTTCCCGCATGTACTCAAAGATGAAGTAAAGCCTGTTGTCTTCACGGATAACCTCATGGAGCCTCACAATGTTGACATGCTTCAGCTTCATCAGGGACTGTTTTGATCAAATTAAACTCTTTACAATAATAAAATCACACACACCTTGACTTCTCTAAGGTTCAGACATTCTTCCCACGTTTTAAATTCCCTTTTCATTCTGCCATAATGAAAAACTGTTTGCTACAGTAAACGTTTTCCACATCTCACGCAACCTTTTGATTGCCACAAGTTCTCCATTCTCGAACCTTCTAGCCAAACTGACAGAGCCGTAAGTTCCATCCCCAAGCTCTTTTATCACCTTGTAACGCCGCATTGTTGGTTGCACCTCTCAGCCGGCCAGTTAGACTCCGAGTTGAGGCCCGCCCCCCATCGACTCGCCCTTCGGTTCCCGTTGCCATAGAAAGTTTTAACTCTTCTGCGACTACATTTTAGGCAATAATGTGCGACTTAGACGCTGCCAACAAGCTATGGATGGGGGATGTAAGAACAATAACTGCAGGAATCGGCTTGTGTTCATCGTTTGTAACCCATCTAGTTGGAGTCTTACATGGACGACGCGTTCTTGACGTCTGTGTTTGCACAGTTTGGTTTTCACGCGCAATCCATTCGCTGGATCAAAAACTACCAGACTGGGTGATGCCTTCAGCCAGTGTTTGAGTTGCTGTTTGATGGTTTTTGTTTTTTCGCAGTGTGGCTGCTCGCTACTGCTTTGTGGAGTTTGCTGATGATGTGTCTGCACGCCAGGCTTTGGAAACCCTGAATAACCAGACTATACCTGGCACCAGTGGAGTATGTAATACTAATCAGCCGTTTGACCTTGCTATGGCGCCTGTTACCTCAGGTCAAAAGATTTAAATTGAATTGGGCAAATCGCAAGACTGACAGTGGGTAAGCCACATTTTCCCAACATGTGCATGATTGATTAATTTTATTCACCCAGTCAAGTCGACTATAATGTGTTTGTAGCCGATATATCGAGAGATGTTACCAGCCAGCAGTTACTTGTGAGTTTAGTATCCTTTGAAACTGTTGTGATATGCATGTATCAACACAGGAGTACTTTCAGCAAAACTACAAGTCTATCAGATATGCTAAAGGTGGTTGTGTGTACTGGTTGTGACCAATAGTATTAAGTAGTCTTTACTGCAGTGGTTGAGGATGAAGAGGGAGCGAGCAAGGGGTATGGATTCATTCGGTTTATGGATGAACAAGAGAGAGACTTATGTCTTGTGGAGATGGACGGGGCTATGGGTCTTGGTAGAAAGCCACTAACCATCAAGCCTGCCTTGGCTCCGAGGACAAGGTATGGTTGAGTCTCTATAGCGCCAGACCGCTATATAGTTACTTATAGAAACATCGGCCCGTTCATAAGACTAGGTTGGCTCGCTCCCGCTCGCCAATAATATACCACATTGCTAGGTTCACTACTGTGTGCAGGGTACCAGCAATGTCAGTCTCTGATGGAGCCTCAGTACATGGTGTGTCTGCTGCAGGGGCTCAGCAATGGCCAGCTCCTCATGCACTTCTTCCTGTGGCCTACACTCCTCACCCAGTATATTATACGTTAGTGTTTAAAAAAATATTAACTTGATTTGCTCTCTCCAGCCACACCCTGTTCCACATGTGAGCATGCCACCGTTAGTTTACATTGAGGATCTTGTTGGTACGTTTGTCTTCTCTACTGTGCACATGGTTTATCACGAGATTCACAATACAGACCCAAACCCTCCCAGAAGTGGTAACGACTTCGTTATCCAGAATCAGACAGAGCTGTTTTTTGGCATTGGATTCGTGTCGATGGAAGGCACTAACAGACATTAAACTGCCGTAGAATGTGTTTTACAAATTATTTTGTTTACATAAGGCTTTTCTCCAATGCATATAATTATTATAGTCAAAAAATATATTGAGGACAAACAATGAGTTACTTTGGGTACCTTTCCAACAGCAAAGCATGACCCTGTGGTATATAGACCAAACATTAGAGACAGTAGAGGAGTTCCTCAGTTACAATGAGAGGCCAGCACGCTAACCTGTCCCCCTGCAGCACATGCAGCTACCACTGCCAACGATCCATCCTCATCAAGAAGGCGGTTGGCAGCTGTTGTCACCAGTCGCACTCCTGTTGCACCAAATGGATGCCCAATAGACAAAGACCCGCCCCACGTGTTGAACTTTTCCAGCGGGAGACGACCCAGCTTTGACGAACGTTTCATGTACTCTTGTGCAAACCAGTCAGAGTCCATTGCTTGAAGGTTTGCCAAGATCTGTCCCTGCACGGCCCAGCTTGTGTAGTGTAAACATAGAAACAACAAGCCTTACTTACAGCAAAGGCCTCATGATACTCAAACACATCGATGTCCTTGGGAGTCAGACCAGACCTATCCAGAAGTAGTGGAGTGGCATATGCTGGGCTGCAGAGTGTAAACATTCAACATACAGAAAGGCCCTGTGTGCTCTACCTACCCAAGAAGAAGTTGATCTTTAGGGTCAAGAGATACGTACACAAAGTCCCTAGGTTGCAATGAATAATCAAAGCTTGATAATAAATATAACTGTTAGCCTTTGATAGTACTTGAGGTAGGCCTTTGGAGTGTATCCTAATGACAGGGCCTTCTCTTCACTCATCAGCAGAGCAGCAGATGCACCATCAGTCTAAATGCAAAGGAATGATGAAAGGCAGGTTATGCAATGGACTGTGTTAACCAGAAACGAAGCATTTGCTGCAGTTATTGTCCCATGTGGCTTCACAAAGGCAGGTTTGAGTTTGCTCATTTGTTCCGGTGTGGAAGGACGAATTCCGTTATCCAGTGTCACAGGCTTAGATCTCCCTGAGTTAGCATGGACAGGAACGGAGGGTGAGAGGGGGGAAAGGGATGTGTATAATTATAATACCCACCTGGTGCAAAGACTGTCAGAACATCTTGAAGCTTTCCTTTCTCTGCTGCCTGATGAGCAAGGTTGTGGGAGCGACTTGCATATTCATCCTGATCTCTGCGAGAGATACCAAAAGTTGCAGCTAAGCGGTCCCCAGAATGTCCCATTGTCTCATTGGTTGAAAACTCGGAGATTGCTGGGAGCTGTGTATATATACATAGATGATAGATTATTAAACACCATAGGAATTATACCTCGAGGCCAAAATACCGCAAGCCACTCAATATTGTTGATAATTTTCCAGATGTTGTCTTCTTCTACAGTAGAGAAATGAGAGGTATGTTCTTAAGCAGAGAGGCTAAGCAAATATTATCATACTTTATTGGCCGCCAGCAAACTCTTCCTCATGCCTCGTGATAGCCGAATAGGCACATCTGACATGGTATCTACACCTCCAGCCACCACCACATCACTCTGGCCAGCAGCAATCTGGCAGGCTCCTGGAGTGAGATAGAGTTTCGTTAAAGGAAAAGTTACACTATAACTCACCAGTTGTAACAGCCATATTTGATGATATGCAAGCCATGGTCACAGTGTGACAAGGTGTGTGCTTGCTAAATCCCGCTGAAAGGGCAGCCTGTGTTTCCGTGACAAAGGAGAATTGAAGCTAACAATGTGGCAAGCAAGTACTTGCCTCTCTAGCAATGTTGCTAGTATTGACATCCTGGATAACAGTACCCACAACGACATGATCCACTTCTGAGACGGGAAGAGCCGTGCGTTGAAGAAGACCCTGCAAGGCGTAGCGTTGCAGGTCGTGGCTCAGGAGATTCTGGTAGCTAACATAAAAGAGATATATACGGCTAGTGGAAAGGTCAAAGACCTGTTCTTACTCGGAACCAGACGTCAGGAACGGAGTTCTCACACCGTCAACCAACACAACACTCCTCTTTCGGCTTTGATATAGTCCATCCGCGCCAAGCCTGCCGCAGCAAAAGAAGGGCAGAAAGCGAGGGCCAGAGGGCAAATCAAATCCTCTGCCAGATTCTCCAAGTTCACTGAATGAGTCCATATTCAATTCCTTGTAATCCGTATCCAAATTGATTCCATCCTTCGCAGAAAAGCTAGCAAGATGGCCGGGTTGGAACAAGGCAATGCAGAGGGTAAGGAAAGCGAGGAAAGGGAAAAGCACCGGCCGCGGGTCCACACAAAGAGAACCCACCTAGAAAACGGCAGGAAACGTGCCAACGGAAAGAAATGAAAAGGGTGCAGACCGACAGCGAAGGAATGCCATATTGCGATCCAGCGGAAATTGCCATTCCAGAATCCAGCCTGTAAAGAATCCAATTGCCAAATGCAATAAATTGAAAGAGCAAGCATAAAATCCAATTACGCTGCCAAAAGCATTTAAGTCCCTTGAAGACAACATACGCTTTCCAGAAACTTACATCCAAAAAAAATATCAGAAGAAGGAATAGTTTCCTTCCTTTCATCCGGATAAGCAAGGGTGCGTAAAGCCGCCAGCGAAAGCCAGGAAGGCCAGGCCGGGAAGCGCGCCAGGAAAAGGAAGCCAGGCAGGATGGACAAACTATGGAAAGAAAAGGGAGAAAGAAGAGGTACGGATGGGAAGAGTAGCAAGGAAAAAAGGGGAGGGGCCGTGTGTAGACATCAAGGGAAGGGGGAGCAAAGGCCTAGCGGGCCGAAGAACGAAACCGAATAAAAGGAAAAAACAAGGCCGAAAACAAAAGCAGGACATAGAGAGGCGAAAGCCAAGGAGCTCCGGTGATAGTATGGAGGTCCGGCCGAAAAATCAAATATCAATCCAAGGAAGAGTGGGCCAGAATCATTTGTCCAAGCGGGACTGGAAAGGCAAAAAGCCAAGTCTACGCCGCCGAGGGCGACAGGCAAGCTAAGGGAGAATGCCACAGAGGTAGAGGCCGAAAGAGAAAGAAAAGACACAAGCAGCCAGAAAGAGAAAATGAGCGTGTGTTGGCGCCATCAGAACATCCAGTAGGGCCCTGAGGAAAGCGAAAGATGGCAAAGAGAAGAGGGCCGGGAGGCAAAGAGAAGGGATAGCGAAGATAGGAAATACGCAGAAAAGAAAGAGAAAGACCTAGCAAGAAAGTGGTCAGAAAAGGGAAGAAAAGGAGCGAAAATATATGAAGCCGGATAGAAATAAGGCCAAAGGATACATAAATCAGTCCATTCCCAGACAAAGATTTGGCCAGAAAAAATAATACCGCAGCCTTAAGCCTCCTAAATACTTCTATCCCCAGAAATCCAATTTCCTCCATTATGCCAGATATCCAAAACTTTTCCTCACATTTTCCAAAATTTCCCCTCCAGAAAGTTTAACGACTCTGGCTGCCTTCCCTAAAATTCACCAACCCCTAGCATAGCAAATCTATACCGAAAAAAAAAAAACCATCGCAAAACAGTACGTTTTTTGGATTTTTACGCTCTGAGGCGTAAAAGGTTAACCGAGAATACCGAGGTAGCTCCCAACGCCCGCCATCATCAGATCATGTTCGCGTTTCGCGCCTCTCCGTATTGCGCATGCGTTATCATGCCCAGAACAAAAATTGGAATGAAAAAATCACATGCACACTGCAGAGAACTGGACGAGGTGTGTGAGAGAGTGTAATGATGAAAGTCCAGAAATACATTTCAAGGGTTGCTTATCCGGCCATTATTCATTTCACACCACAATGGTGTTCTATTGTATTTGTGGGGTAAACCTCAGTCTCTGGCAGACAGGAGGATAAATAGCAGAATGTGATGTAAG